CACCATGACAGTGAAGACCAGCGCCACAATGTTGACAGGGTAGGCAGGACAAAAACATGCCAGCATGCTCAACCACAGGTAGCTCCGGAGTGGAGGAGGAGGTTCCTGCTCCTCAGTGGAGCCACTGTGGTCCCAAACTGTGCTCCCGGTTAAAGAGGTTTTTATTGGAGACTTCAACATTGTGAGGACCATTGATCCGAAATAAATAAGGAAAAATAATGAAAAGTTACAAACAAAACATTTTGTGAACAAAAAGGAGGAGAGACRGAAAAACCCAGTTGGAGAAAGTGGAGTCCTGATTTGAATTCAGTGGCTYGAAAGACGTCTCGGTGAAGCAGATTTTGTCCTGTGCTTCTTCTACTCATCACTCCTGCAAAAGCTGTGTTTGTTGACGAAGGGGGGGCTCGCTGACCCTGCTGGCCTCTGTCCAGGTCCTGAGTCTAAAGTGTGAAGGATCTGACTCTGTTTACCYTCTCACAGCAGACAGCTGCGGCCCTCTGGGTTCAGTATGTGCAGCAGGTCATAGAGTCAGAATTCTTCTTTATTTATTCAGGTAAAACCGACTAAAGGGATAGTTCCAATACTTTCAGCTAGGGTTCTTTGTAAAAAAAAAAAAAACAGTTAATATCTTACCTGTTGCAGGTAGATCTAAACCAGCTACTTTTGGAGAAATTAAGTCGGATCAGATTGATGAGCAGTCAGTGGATTACTGCTGTTTTAAAACTAGATGACTTTATTAAAAGCATCAGTTCACGCAAATCCAATTAAACAAAACTCTTACTTAGTTGTCAATTTCACATTGCAAGAAAATTTACATAGCATTCTGACTGTCTGTATTTTTTTTATTTTACCAGCAAAGTGATATTAGCAGGTAGCTTTAGATCTATTGGTGGACCTGGTATGAATATCGTAACATTTCTGAAGAAGCGTATTCATTCTGGCTGAGCTGATGAGCTGCTGCCAGTCAAAGTGAGACCAAGACCAACGTGAATGTCTGTAGTCTCAAAGTTTTGTGGTGTAATGGTTATTTTATGAGCTTTTAATCTGCAATCAGTTTTACACCGTATTACTGACAAAAACATATTTCTGCTATAGTGTGCAAATGGAAGTGCTACTGCTAGCAGCTGCTGCCACTTGTGCTTGCAAATAGCCTTGTTCCATGTAAACATTGGTYAAATGCTAACGTGGCAGTACTCAAGGTATCTACAGGTTTTAGCAAGTCAAATTTAAGAGTTTTTAAGGACCCGCAGACATCCTGGTAATATAAATGATTAATCGAGGGTCCACATGATAGATGTGTCATTTCCCTGAAGTTGTTTTAACCCTGCTGCCTTTCGTTTATTTTATTTAACTGGTATTTAACCAGGCAAAATCCATTGAGATCGCTGATGGTTCTTTTTCAAGGGAGGCCTGGGCCTGAAACGTTCAAAGACCTATCTAAAACAGGTAAGATATTAGTTGTTCCTAACCTTTCTATAGAACCCCACTTGAAAGGAGAARTGTTACTTTAAAGCAGACAGTGAAAACGTTCTCTATGTAAATAATGTACGTTCTGCTTCATGTCTTTAAATAAAACTCTGCCTGAGGGTGAGCAGCAGTTCTGTTCACTGAAAATAAAAAGAAAAAAGCTGCACTTTACAAGTCATGGTACACAAGCTTGTAAAAAAAAAGGATATTTGAACCGGGAGTCACTAAATCTGTGCCACTTTAATCTGGATGAAGACAAATTTGATAGCATTTATGTTGTTGCAAAGTAAAAACAAATGATTGCAAACTGCTTTAAAATAATTTATTAAGAACTTCAAATTGAAAAAAAAAAAAAAAAACAAGGAAAGTTCGACGGGGAACAGTACAATTTTTTTTATCCGCAGAGCTTCATTCAAAACATTGGCCCTTCTCCATTCATCACCAAAATAAAAGACATCAATAAAATTAATATACAAAAGGGGGGAAAGAAATCTCAAAACAGAAAAATATAGTTTCTTTTTTTTTCTGAAAATAAGTCTTAATGCCGCAGAATTTTCCACTTGTTGTCTGCCATTACCAATAATAGTACTATTTTCATTTGTAAGGTAAAAAATAACTTATTGCTTTATTGTAAGTTAAAAAGTTACAGTGTTGGTGTCCAGCAGTAGTTTTTTTTATTTATTTATTATTATTATTAATTGTGTCCCAGCATGTCTGACAGAGGAACTACTGGCTGGATCAGGAAGTTTATTTATTTATTTTTTTGTTAACCAAACAGGCTTTCAGTAAGAAGCTGAACAAGCAGGCTCCTTGTTTTCCTGCAGACGTTTAGTTTGTTCCAGSTTTTCGACACTTCCTGCCAGCCAGAGTCATCGTGTCGTATCAGAGCGGACTGGAAGCATGACCCTGTTCCATTTCTGGTTCCCTGCCCAGGCCCTGTCTCTTCACGTAAAGCAGCAACTATATTTATATATATATATTATTCACATATATATATATATTCATACAAACAAAAATATGTTGGTTCGAGAAGCACAAATTTATCACAAGTCAGTGTGAAATGGGAGAAAGTCAGGCGAGAAAAAGCAGTCGAACCGAAATGAAACAGGGCGATCCTTTTTTTTCCTTCTCTTTTTCTTCAGTACCAAAGAAAAAAGGCAACCCAAATGCTCCGTTTGCTGAAAGTAGTTCCACATTACTCTTTGTTGAAGGCGCACAAGCACCGACTCACACACACATACACACACGCGCGCGCGCTCAACCACGCGCACCTTCAACGGCGACAGGAGGACAGAACATGATCTGCTACAGCTGTGTTCTCGGAGAATGTCCTTCATTTTGTTTTTCACGGTGGACAACACCGCAGAAAAGAACGCATTTTTTTATTTAAACAACAACAATAAAAAAAACATTAGGTGAACTGCGCAGAAAATATATATATTTTTAAAGGATGAAGTCGACTTCCACAACCCCAAGAACCCCCAGGTTTTCCTGCTTGAGGTTCTCCCAAACGTTTGTGTTTATCGGGAAAAAAAAGGTTTGAATGAAGATGCAAAACTTGCTTTTTAAAGAAGAGGTGTGACTTAATAACTGGGAAATAAGGTGAAGGAATTACACCTGACAAACTCCTGGAAATGAAAATAACTCCAAAGCACAGCGCTGAAGAGGACTGGCCCGCAGTGTGTTCTGCACACACACGCACGCACACGCACACACACACACACACGCACACACACACACTGCTGAAGTAGTGACACGAGCGCCGACAGCAGGAAGTGACATCCAGTCAAAATGCTGTTAAACCAACCAATGACATGCCAGCCAGTTCAGCAACCCCGCCCACCCCCAACCCCGCTCCCCCACGCCTATGTACAGTATCTTACAGGAAGACATAAAAACATTGCTTTAAAACCAATTACAGAATAAAATACCTTACAGATCAGCATTATTATGTCAATATTAATAATAATATTACAAAGGTTTCGTTTTTAAAGACTACCAAAATATACATTTTTTTGTGTGTGTGTGTGTTCCTCAATGTTTCTGCGACACTTGAGTAAAAAAGGACTTTGTTGGATTTGTTCTTCCTTTGTTAAAAAGTTGTTCTTTTTACAGACAACTTATCTCACGTGTTGTTTGTTTTTCTCGGTTCACATTCATACCAGCTTTGTGGAACTTCATGATCAAATGACACGTCACGTTAAAATAAAATACAATAAAATAAAAAAATGAAAAGCTTAAAACAGTTCTCTGTCTTTATCGAAGATGACAAATGTTTTTTTTTTGTTTTGTTGCAGTTTTCTTCTGCTAACTTCAGAAGAAAGAGGAAATGGATAACTGATGGGGGTGGGGTATAGGTGGGGGGTCTAGTCGTTACACTACGTGAAGACAGAAGGGGAGAAACTGGTGGTGCATTATGTTGAAGTGAGATTAGTACAGAAAAACAAGAGTATTGGTTTAAAAAGATATTCAGTCGGTGGGTGGAGCCACATGGAGCCAGAAGAGCTTGTGGCCGGCCAATCAGACGGCACCATCGAGTGGGCAGCCGGCGTTCTGATTGGCCTGACAGCAGAGGAGAAAAGTCCTCCAATCCTCAGTGACCTGAGTCTTCTCAGTGGTAGCCATTAGTGAAAGCAGTAGCAATCAGTGGACCCTGAGGAGAAAAAAAACAAGAATGAATCCACTTTTTTCTGGCTRCATGAGCACATACAGACGTTTACAGTCATGAAGTCTTAAAGAAATACACCCTCTTTATTCTATAGTTTTATGTATCACAACAAATTAAATATTTAGTGGATCGTAAGTGTGCAAAAATATACAAAAGATACCTCTGTGTTATTATTTATTAAACAACAATTCCACCACATGATTCATGATTATCTTTCTTATTTTTCTTATCATTACACAGTCTGACCTTGGGGTGAATTTGCTAGGAAGTCCACTTTATTTGTATTTTTTAAACAATGAACTTCAGATGGTTTGGAAACTTTGCCCAATTGTTTGTTTGAGATGATTGTACCGGCGTTGTGGTAACACACACCTCAAGAGCTGCTAATTTCTCTAAATTCTATCTGAGCTGCAAGGCTAAACTTGGTTTTCTCACACAACTTAATTAAGACCAGATCATTTTTATTACCTTCTGATGTAAAACAAACTAAATTAAATACTTTTTTCTCCACCCAAGTGTAACCTGCGTGACCTACCCCTAAACCGTGACCAAACCCCGTGCTGGGGGCAGGGCTAGCGGCGCTGATGTAGCTGCTGACTCCTGAGTCCTGATTGGCTGCAGCGTACAGGTCAGCCATTGGTCCGGGGCTGCTGGTGCCCAGGAAGCCAGCTGTGCGTGATGGAGTGGAGCCTGGGAGGCAGAAAAAAGGACGAGTCAGGTTTCTCTCTCTCTCTCTCTCTCTCTCTCTCTCACACACACACACACACATCTAAAAATATGCTTTTATTCATCCAAGCAGCCCATTGTGCAAACACTCTACGTAAATATAAAACACACACACACTTACCTCTGACTACTGCAGCTGCAGCTGCCATTGGTCCGTATGCAGTGAGGGGAATGGCTGAGGATTACACAACAAAACCAAATTATTGCACAAACAAATCATTGTGGATCACTCTTATAGCAGATCATAAGCAATAATCTACAGCTCAGTGAGGGTGAAGCTACATCTGCTCGCACATCTGTCATGTCATTTAAATCCAACTGGTGTGTGTGTGGTTGGGGGGGGGGGGGATACATCTATGAGCATCTGGCTCGAGGTTCGCCGATTATAAGAACAAGCAGAAAGGATCATGTGTACAGGCAAGATGTAAAAAAAAATCAGGCGCTTATAAAAAAAACAACAAGGTTTGATGAACCCATTTGTCCCACTGACTTGAGTCAAATTGTAAATGTGCTAAAAATAGAGCTGAACCGCAGCATTCAGCAGCTCAGCCCTTCATCCTAATATTAGCTCTGTGTCAGAAGGAAACTGAGTGGATGGCGGCACTTTTGCGTTTTATAAATAGCAGCTCTGATGTCCCTCTCGCTGATTGTGAGTCAGACAGCACGTGCAGCGTCACGCTTTTCAGGAGGAAAGACCGAAATATCATCATGTCTGGAATAATTGTTACATATGTACGTTCCAGCTCTGGCTCGTTTTTTTTTTTTTTTTTTAGTCGTTTCCTAAAACTAAATCCCATTAACAGCTCGATGTTGGGAATAATTATTTATTCAGGCTTGGCTGATAAAAAAAACAAAAACAACAACAAATGCTGTCGGTTTTACAGATAAAATGCTCAGATTTGGTGTGGCAGTAGCTGAGCAATGTGTTTGTTTGCTTTATATGAAAACGGCCATCCTGCAGTCAGTTTTACAGATGATGTGCTGAAGGTTTGTGTATCTGAGGTATTCACAACACATACTCTGAGTACTCAGATCAAGCAACAGGTCATAATATTGAACGAGATTTCTCAACACAAGGTGAGCTCATCTTAAATTCTATTTCTGATTAATCTAGAAATTATTATAGGATGTTTTTGTTAGAATAGGTTTAACGTTTTAAGCTGAAGTTTTAAAGTAGGAAGCATCTTTAATAAAAAAAAATGATGATCTTTTTCTGTTCTAAAAGAAGTTATTTGTTTAAGAAACTTTGCTCCACTTTTAAAAGATAAAACATTTTCATTAGGAATATGTGTGGCTCTATTGTTGGAATATAACACATCAGTTTTTAATTAAGAAATGTTCTGGTATTGAGTCTACAAATGCAAACAGTTCACTTTTGATGCTCAAGAGTTTGTTTTTTTCCCTCTTGGCGTTTCCGAGTATTGAGCAGCCACTGACCTGTCAGTTCAGGGGGGTGGGATGATGTCAGAAGAGGGGTCCGCTCTAAGTGGAACTCTGGAAACAGAGGAGGTCAAGAGAGAGCGCTCTGTAAACACGGTCTACAAAACCCGACTACAAAGACACAAACCCACTCAGCCGCACAACTTTCAACTGAGAGCAGGAAGGCAGGAGCAGAGGAAAAGGAGGGGCATCGCCGCCAAATGAAAGYCCGTTACATAAGTAGATCAAATAAACAGAAACTAATCAAAGACGAAAGCAGCAGACATCATGAATCCAATATCAACATTTAGAGGATGAATGGGGAAGAACCGAGGAAAAACAGGGAGCGAGCAGACAGAAACCAAGGCACAAGCACAAACATTTTACCTCCTGCAGTTAATTATCTGCTTTTATAAATCCTTTTTGAACTCTACACAGAGTGGGTTTAAACAGGCTCACCTGGGAACTGGTACGTGTATCCAGGTGCTAATCCAGAGTAACTGCGGCTGGTGTAGGTAGTAGTCTGAAAACCTGGGTAGCCTGTAAAAACACAGAAAAAGCATCTGTTTTTATCAATTTCACCAATTAAAGATACAAATTCGTTTCAGGGGGAAAAAACACATTCAATGATCCAAACTATATAAAACAAATATATTACATGAGTTTTAACTAAAACACATTATCAAGTACTTATAGAAAGTGTGTATTCTCTTTAAATTTAGATTTCAAAATAAACCTGCATGTCTGGTGAGCTGATAAACATAAAAATAAATGTGATGAAGATTTTCTGACTTTAGTGTTTTAAAGGTAAGTTAAAATAAACTATATCTGCAGCTTTTGTTAAGAAAAATAAATAAATAAGGGTTCCCTTATCGTGTTATAATCTGAAACTGCCAGCAGGGGGCGCAAAACAACCACAGATACAGTAAAGCAGCTCTGGGTTTTGTCAATGAAAATATCTTCAAATAAAATGTTCCTCCAATGAACGCTCCTCGCTCTGTTACTCCCGATTCTCATAAATCATAGATGAAACACCAGGCAAACCAAAGGGATACGTTTAACCCAAGTCTGCTGTAATATTCTCTGATTTTAACGTATTTGTGCGGACGGCAGATCAAAGAAATAAACACAGTAAGATTTGACTGAAGTGAACCTCTGTTTTTCTGTTTCCTCACAAATAAACGTTATGTGAAAGAGAGAGGAAGTTATGCACAAATTTCCAACACTGTTTTACAGTTTTATTTTAAATTGAAAACAAAATGTTCTATTTGTTTTAACTGCAGTTTTACCTAACATGCCAATGCCCAGCATGAACGTGTCCATCCCATAGGGCATCACTCTCGAGCGGCCTCTGGCTGAGCTCGTCGGCGTCATCACCTCCTTGGGCTGGGCTTTCTTGCACTCCACCTAAAGCAAGGAAAAATTAATGGTGTGCTCAGAGGGTTCGTTAGGGATGAGCCTCGGCTACGACCGCACCACATTTCACTCAGCACCTGTAAAATTCACTGACTTGGGAACACAAATGTGCAAACAGCTAACACAATTAAAAACATTAGCGCCCCCTTTCGTCTTTCAGCAGCTGTGTTAATAGTGTTCAGCAATAAATACCAAAAAATAAATAAATAAATAAAAAATTAATTCCTCATGTTTTAGAGTGAAGGTTTACCATTTTGTTGTTGATCTCATGGAAGTGAATCTCGCACACTTTCTCCACCACGTCTTCATTCTCGAAGGTGACGAAACCAAAACCTGGAGGAGACAAAAACAAAACGACACAAACATTTTATTTGCTGCTAAAAGAAACCACCTCTTCAGCCTTCATCGCAGAGTGGGGATGCAACCCTCGTAGGTCATGCTCGTCAATCTCGGGGTTACCATTACGAAGAGGGGAGGGGGGGCAAACTGAGCCCCTAAAACGAAGCCCAGGTCATCGTTAACCTCATCAATTTCTCCGCCCCTCCCCTGCTCCCCTTCCCTCCCTCGCCTGTCTGCTTGTGTTACATCATCGCCTGTGGCCATCTTGACTGAGCACGGCGACCCTCAGCGGGCCCTGCCCTAACCCACAGAGAGGACAGAGATAAATGGAACAGAGGGGAGGCGAGAGGAGAGAAAACAACGTGATTGGAGGAAGAAGGGGGGAGAACACCGCCTTTTTTTTTGCAGAGGTTCACCTAATGACTCCATCCTGCTGCCTCTCCTTTCATTTGCAAAGACACGTCTTTTTACGTCAACATATATTTACATYTGTGTGTGTGTGTGTGRGCGCGCGCATTTACCTCGGTGTCTGTTGGTTGTTTTGTCGAACATGAGCATGGCATCGTCAACCTACAGGAACAAAAGCAAGGGGAATACATGAGCTTGGCCATATTAACACTCACACATCATTACCCAGCATGGGGTGCCATTGTCCCTGTTTAGTATTAGAGTCAGAGGGGGAAACAGATGGAGAGGGTGGAGGGGTGACAGGTGACAAAGGAAAGAACTGAGGGAGGGGGGGGAGCGACGGCGGAGGAATCATAGAAAAGAAAGGAGGTTGTGATAAATAAAGAAACACAAAACAAGAGTTCAGCCAGTTCTTCCTCGCTGAAGTTCTTACAAACTTTGCCTCAGCCCTTTCATTAGTTCTCCCTCTCTGCAAAGTTTGCCATTCCCATGGAGACTCTGTAAAGAATTTCAATAAGGACTCGCCACCCCCCTCCCCAACTTATTTCAGTGAATAGGATGGAAAGTAAGAGGAAGGGGTGGAGAACCAGCACAGAAGAGGATGATTTCAGAAAAAAATAAAACGAGTTGAGTTTGAATTTTGTTTAGGACGATTCTGAATCATGGAACAGAAAAACAAAGTGAGCCGGGGGTCTTTGTCATCACGCTGCTTTTATTCTCCTCCTCCCTCCCCCTTTTGCACTCACTCCACTGCCCTATTCATATTCCACCTCCTCCTCCTCCTCCTCCCCCCTCGCCTGTCCTTCACTGTGGCAGGAAAAGTCTGCAGCCTCTGCTACAG